TATATAATTATTATTTTACCATAGATATGACTTTTCAAGTTTAAGAATCCTTTTAGTATTATTTTTTTGTATTTAATTGCAAATCAACTATTTTAAATAAATATACTTGTGTTTGGTATTGGTTGTAACGGCATTTATTTGTCATGTTGACTTTTATACACACATACATACACATATATATATATATATATAACACCTATCTTGTAAGTTATCACTTCTTCGTCCCATAGGGATATATAGGATGATGCTCAACTCCAACTCCAACTCCAAGCTTCAATATCTCCTTCAATGGATTTCTATTTCTCTAACTTCAACGCTTTTCATGGTTGTATGTTGCGAGGTGGGCACGGCTAGCATGTACAATCCACCATACACGCGTAAGTGTATTACAATTACCGAACTCTTTCTGCCTCTTGTCTTTTCTCGTGTTTTCAACTTTCAATTATTAGTTAACCAACAAGAATCCTTCCAATTCATCAAAAACGAAACATTTTGTAGCCTCGGCATGTTATGGAAACGATGCTTCTCAATTTCCGTCTAGTAATTTGTTTGCGGCAGCCGGAGAGGGGATATGGGATAACGGTGCTGCTTGTGGGAGACAATATCTGGTGAGATGTATAAGTGCAGTTATACCACGAACATGCATTCCTGGCCAAACGATTCAAGTTAAGATCATCGATCGAGCAAAAACGTCTGCTTCTAGACCTACGAGCATGGGTACCACCATGGTTCTTTCCGACACTGCTTTTGGCACCATCGCCAATCAGATTTCGTCAATCAACATTGAATTTCAGCAGTAAGGCTTCTTCTCCTTTTAACAATACAAATTACAAGCGTAGAAATTTATGGTTGATTATACACTATTCAACTCATTAATGTTTATCCCGATTTCTAAAGATTAAAATTGCTTCTCGAAGACTACTTTTAATATTCCTTACATGGCATAAGCATGTTGAAACGATAGAGACAAGATTAGCATGACGCTACCTTTTTATAAGATAATCATGACGCTACCTTTTTATAAGATAGAATCCATCACGAGTAGGATAAGGAAAAAGTCATGGATATTTATTATGCTCTACACAAAGCCTTCTAAGAGAATATATTATCTTGCCTGAAGTTATTCCATACATTTTCATCCAAAACATGCCTGTGTGATTTATTTATACTTCTGGCCACATGTAACATATATATTGATTAGAAACATAGACGTGTTATTAATTATTAATATATTATTCATGATAAATAACAATTCCATATTCATAATAGAGAGGGATACATGATGTATTGTGGACGGTTTCCGAGTTTGAAAACTAATAAATTGTGATAACTTTGAGAACCGATGTTATTTACCATTATTTTTTTCTATCTACATCCTAAATTTAATGTATTGATTAACATATATTTATTTCATAATTTGTTTATTTTACATATTATATTAGTCACAAATTTTACCAAATTTATAGCTTACTCAAAAACTTAATTATCTCCTAGTTTGAAAGCTGATTTTTTTTTTTATCTTTGACATAAATAAATAATTATATCACTTTTGAAGACATTGATGGGAATCTCAATGTTTCACATGCAGGGTGTGAAGATAGTCAAGGGTGCAATAGCCAATACTTTTGTTCATATTTAATCAACGACCAACTTCAACTTATCTTTTATACATAGATAGATAGTGAGAGTGGGAAGGGTGACTTATTATATAATTCTTTATATTTGTATAATTAATACAACTCAATTTCAATCGTTCATTTAATTTAATTAATATGTGATTTTATAAAAACTTTGATTGTTTCCTAATATAAAGTATTGATCATAATTAATAAACTCTAGTTATTTTCCATAAATATTCAAATCATAATAAATGAACTCTCATCATCTCCATAAATATCTCAATTGATTGAGTTGTATTAGTTGTACAAATGGACATGATTACATTTGAAATATACATTATATATATATATATATATATATACACACACACACACACATATATAGAGGGAGTTAGATTGTAAACCGTCTATTTTATGCAAACTATAGAAATCACCATCAACCAATATAATAATTACATGTTTTTCTTTTTATTTTTAATGAATAAGGGTATGAATATCATTTTACTTTGTAATGGTTAATCTTGGTAATGTTTTAATTGTTTTTAAATATGGAAAATTAAGTATAGTAACTGTTTTTAAGGAAGGTATAAATCAATTTATTTTAATTATAATTGTTAGCATTAATATTTTATATTCTTTTATTAATTTAAAAATATACATCAATTACAAAGTGTATTTGTAATAATTTATTTCTTATGAAATCACAAGTAGGTATTGATTTATTAATAATATAGTTGTGATATTTTCCAAAAATTGAGTATATTGTTTTGTTCTGATTCGTAAAACAAATGTTATTAATGAAACCATGTTATACAGTTTTCAAAATGTTTAAAAAATGAAACTAATTTCATTTTGGTTAGGAACCATGAAACTACTTTCATTAATGAAATAATAGTATTCAAGTTCTTGAAATGTTTCATTGACTGAACCATATTTGGTTTCATTAATAAAACCAATTTCATTTTGGCTATAAACCATGAAAACGATTTCATTTTGGTTAGAAACATGAAACAAATTAAAAAATAAATCAAATATTATTATTCAGTTCTTGAAGTGTTTCATTGATTAAACAATATTTAGTTTCATATGTAAAACCGAGTTCATCTTGGTTAGAAACCATGAAACTGATTCCATTTTGGTTATGAAACATTTTAACAATTTTTACTACTGAAACAATGTTATTCAGTTTTTGGAATTGTGGAGTCCATAAAACCAATTTCAATGATGAAACATATTTCATTAACGAAAACATGTTATTCAGATTTTGAAAAATGTTCCATTGACTGAACCATATCTGGCTCAAATTTCATTATACAGACGAATAATGAAACTAGTTTCACTGTTAATGTATTCTCATCATGAATCAGACTGGTATGAAACAAGTTTTGGATTGGTATGAAACAGGTTTCAGATTACGTCAATCTGTTTCATTAACCAGTCCAGTCCCAAATAATATATTTTACCAAGCTGTCTGTAAAAATATGTTTTTTTAGGAGCATGATATGTTGTTGATCCTCTCTCTCAGTGATTTGATGATAATCCTTTTTTTTTCCTTTCACGTTGTATTTGTGTTTCTGTATTTTCAGTTCCAGCGATCATCACTGAGTATGTTCAGTGATCGCTGAAGAACTTGCTTTGTAAATTCATCAGAGACAA